GCCGCAGCTCCAGCACGCCGAGGTAAAGGCCATCGCGCTCTCCGACCACCTTGCACTAATGGTGTCTCTTGCACAGCCCGCCGGCCCCGCGCCGCCCCGCCGCCCGCCCCGCCCGTGTTTGCTGGACGCGCGCCCCCGCAAGGACCCCGACTTCCTGCCGGAGCTCGCCGAGGAGTGGCCTCGCATCCTCGCCAGCCGCCGCGCCGACGAGGGAGCGACGGAGTGGTGGATCCGCGCCGCGAAGCCCGCCATCCGCCGCGTCGCCAGCCGAGTCGCGCAGCAGCTGAGGCTGAGGAGTGAGACCAAAAACAAATTAGACTTTCTTAACACCTTGCTCTCTGAGCAGTGCTCCGCCCTGACGCGCACCGCCGAGCTCGCCACTGACATCAGGGAGACAAAGCAGGAGATCCTCGCCGTGCACGCGCAGTTACTCACCGGCTTCAAGGAGCGCGCGCAGCTGCAGGACACCGTCCGGGACGAGCCGCTCAGTGCCATCCACGTCGGGCACGCCGCGCGGCGCGCGAGGCAGCGCCGAATCGAGAAGCTCAAGGACGACAGTGGCAGGACTCTCCAGGACCCAGGTGGCATCCAGGACGAATTCTTTACTTTTTACAAGGTGAAGTTTCAGGACGATGAGAGCGCCACATCCATGCCCGCCCGAATCATGGAGGCCCTGGAGAGCACCGTGTCAGAGGAAGACAACGCTGCCCTCAACAGGCCGATCACCACCGAGGAGGTCCAGGCAAGTGCTGGCAAGGCGCGGGGACAGTCGTCGGGGACTCCATCACTGCGGCGTGGCTCACCACCCTCCTCGAGAAGCACCCGCGGGGAAGAGCAGCTGCGGCGAGTGTCGGTGCAGGCCCCACACTTCAGGGCCTACCACACCACCATGACGACCACGGCGGGCGCCACCGGCACCGCTCCCCGTGACATCATCAGAGCTCTGTACGAAGACCTTACGCACGCGCATTCGTTCCTATCGGAAAGCCGCTCGATCAGGCTCCACGCCGTCGCCACGCTGGAGAGACATACGGTTGCGCCACGAGCCTGCCCTCGCTGACCGCGCGTCGGTCTGTGATTCAGCATGAGTCGCGTCGGGCGCGCTTCTCGGCGCCGGCCGGACGATCAAGACTGGAGCAGAGACCAGAGCGCGGCGCTCACGAACACCATGAACTTGCATGGTCTTTCCGGCGATGGCGGTGCCGTCGCCACTGGGGAGCACCGCGGACACTCGCTACACGTTCTCTATTCTGCGGGGGTCGGTACAGCACTTGGGCGCGCCAAAGGTCGCCAACTGCGACCACCGGATGGGGTAAACGCTCGCGCCGTCAGCACTCCTCGTCACGGCCCGGCACCAGGTGGTGGTTCGCAGGGCCGTGGAGGCCTTAACCGCCAGCCTGCAGGCCGCGCGCCTCAAGGTAGGCAACATCTTGTCTGCAGTGCGTGCGTGTACTGCGGTGTGGCCTACCCCTAATCTCACAGGCGCTCAGCTCTCGGAATTCACCGAAACAACGGGTGTACTTTCTGGACGAGCCCTACTCGAACTGGGTGATAAGGCACCGTTCGCCCTTAACCCTTCTGTTGTGCATGAGACTTTCAAAGTTTTGAGAGGCCACGTATGAACAAATTTAGGCATAAAAACAGATTTACAACTTAAAATGCATGAAATAATAATGGAGGACATCGGGAATAAGAAAACACAAGGAAAGTGCAGATGATCCTCTATGTCACAGCAACTTTGCCACAACAGCAAACTTGAATACTTTAGTACATACTAAAAGCAAAATCAAAGAAAGAAACAAGAGGAGAATGTCAGTGAAAAGACTAGCATCTGTATGACAAATGTTGCAAGACTTGCTTTATGGCGTCCAAAGTATTAAAAGTATTAGAGAGGCAAGTGGTATTGAAGTAAAAGATCGAAGTCATTAAACACTCAACAGAAAATTCTTGAATTAACTGGAATTGCGTGAAGTACGCTTATTATTCACACATTTTTATGCAAAATTATGACTGAATTTTTTCAGTGTACATTTAAGAGCAGCACTGTTTAATAGTATGATAATCTAATATGCGATATAAAATTATTGAAATAATACTTAGGTAAAAATTATGTTTTGGAAGATCCTTATGTGCTCCCCGCAGCAGCAGCACTTCCTGTCTCTCAATCGGCGTGCTCTGACCGTCTCTGAACAGGGCAGGCACATTGAGAGGTGCCCGCATGGCTCGCACGCCACTACTGCTCGAGCATTTAAGCAGTGGTGGCAGGCGCCCTCGGGCACCGCTGCCTCCGGATGTTCATGCGCAAAAGTAATTTTCAGGTAGATCCTGATACGCTCCCTGCAGTAGCAGCACCTCCGGCCTCTTAAAGGTCCTGATTTTACCGTCTCCGAGCAGGGCGTGCACATTGAAAGGTGCCCGCATGTCACGGCTGCCACTACTGCTGGAGCATCAAAGCAGTAGCAGCAGGCGCCCTCGGGCCGCGGTCCATCCGGTTGTGGACTTCCAGGCTCCTCCGGTGCGGCCTGTGCCGCTGCCTCCTGATGCGCCTGGTCAAGCAGTGCAGGCGGGTCTGCGGCGGCCGCTGCTGGTGGTGGGGCGGGGGCGTCCACCTCCTGCACATGCACCAGCTGGCGGTGGGAGTCTCCGAAGAAGTCTCTGATTGTTATATTACCATACTCCGATTCCACTGCTTCGCCGTCTGCCTGCAGCACTCGGAAGCCCCAGGGAGCCTCGGCGTTGGTTTCCACCGCCGTCCTAACAAGCGAGAGGAGACAGTGCGCCTCGAAACTGCGCATCCAGCGGTGTCCGGAGGGGAAGACGAATTGGATCTCGTAGGCGCCGCCGTCAGCGACCGTCGCCATGGCCGCGGAGGCTGCAGCGCGGCGAGCAGTCAGAGCCTCCTGAACTCTGTCTGCTGCAGCCGCTTCCTCCCGCTGCTGGGCCTCTGCCTGCTGGCGTTGCCGGTCCCGTTCTCGGTCTGCTGCAAGGCCGACTTCGTACGCAGCGTCCTGCTCTGCACGCACCTGCCGGAACTCCTGCAGCTGTTGGGCGGCACGGGCGGCAGGGCCTGCAGGTGGGGCGAGGGCTGCAGGGGGAGCTGGGGCAGCGGGTCCCTCAGGGGCGGCACGGCCACGCACTGCGCCAGCTGGGACGGGAGCCAGGGGTCTGTGCGCCTCCTCATCCTCCGATGAGATGGACACAACTAGAACAGAAATTTTACATCAGACCCCGCTGATAAACCAAGTCTTCAACAGGGTAACACTTTCAATTGTGCAACTGCAGGCTGAATAGTCGGTGCAAGTGTTCAGGATTGTAGTGGCACACTTGAAGTGTTTAACTCGCTAGCTGTGACCTTTACGTGTGTAACTCATCTGTTGAACCCGTATTTAGAATGGACTGGATGAGTATCTACTCTGTGGTCACGGACGGATATTGCTTACCGTCATCTGGTCCAACGTCGGCCAGCACCCTCTGAGCTTGCTCCGCCTCGTCCGGGCTGTCCTCGTCGGATACGTCTGATAAATAGATCGATACGCATATATTTAATATGAATACACACTTAAAAAAGACTGTGAATACACATTTAAAAAAAGCTTCTTACCAATAGGCACGATGCCGCGCACGGGCACAGCGCCGCGACCCGGGCCCTCACGGACGAGCCGTGGCCGTCCTCTTGGCCTCCGGGGTGGCGGTGGGGGCGTGTCGCCCGTTGGGACGCGGCGAGGCCGGCCAACACGACGCCGCGGCGGGGGAGGACTGTCTCGTGCCAGCCTGGGGCGTCCTGGACCACGGCGCTGACCATCAGCGTCACCAGCCTGCTGGGGCCGTACCTGTCCCCGACGCCCACGCATCCCTCTTCCACGCTCTCCAGCGCGGTGGCCATCCCTAACCGCGGGATCATCTGTATGAAAAAAAAATGAGATTGAGAATATTTTTTTTGGCTAGTTATTCTTGTTTTGCTGCCAGTACTAAAGTGAAAAACGCAATATCGAATCGACGTCGATCCGATGTTGCGTTTCTCACTGGGTGAGAGCGTCGCGTATTTCATACCGTTGTCAGGGGTGTGTGGGCGAGCTGGAATGGGCGGCGTCGCAGCAAGGGGAGGGGTGGGGCTCCTACGGCCTGGTGTTGCAGGCGGACGAACAGCTCCTGGAGATTCCCCTTGACGTTCCGGACTGGGGCGGAAGATGTCCGGGGTGACAATCCTGGCCTGTGGGCGTGCTGCGGGCGGTGGAGTGGCAGGTGGCTGCTGGCGTGCAATGCGCAGATCCAGGACCTCCGGATCTGCCTGCAATGGTCCCCACATTAATTTAAGTGTACTGCACGGCGAAGGTGTCATACGACAGATGGTTGCTGTAAATGTTAGTATTTTGTTACCTGCTGTGCCGCAGCAGCCAATGCTGCCCTCCTGATCTGCTCGCGCCGGCGTGCCATCAGGGTGCCCACGGGGTACACTGGCTCTGAGGCCCGAGAAGTCCCTGGAAGTGCCTCTGTTGTTTGAAAAAATACAAGGTCGATACCGAGATAAGTAAAAAACGCGCCATCATCTTCGAACCAAAGGGAATAAAGCATTCCGGTAAAGCAGAAATGCAGAAAAATGGTTGAGACAGGCTTTGGGACTGTCTAAAACAAGGAATTCTAACCTTCACGCGTAGGCGACCCATGGTGAGGTTGCGTATGCCTCGCTGGCAAGCTTGGTGATAGGCGTAGAGGCGCGTCCCGGACGCTCAGCTCGGCCTCCCCCACCACTGCATGTTCACCTGATGAGAAATAAATCATACCAGGTAGCTGATTAACCCCGCTCGC